AGCTCGCTTGTGTCGGTCAACAGCCAGCCAGCCAAGAAATCCTGTGTCACATTGGCAATGACGCGGATCAGTGAGAACCTTTATGGCCAACAAAGCTCAACATGTGCCTCCGTCCCTGTGGACTTGAGGACGATGGATACCTTATTGCCGCCCACTCGAGCAGATCCTCTGGCCTTTTCGTTTATTTTTATCGGAGTACTGGTCTCGTGCTGACAAAGGGAGGGACGGATCCGAGTTTGAGATCAAAACGTCAGGCATTATCAGTCGGCGGCGTCGCCTCCTCTTTGTTATCCCATCCATCTGCCCCGTATCTCCGTATTGTTTTCCTTCCCATTTGCCTTTCCTTTCCCTCCCCTTCCCTGCCTTGCCTTGCCTTGGCTTCCTGCGATCGATCTGAGGTCTCGGGTGCTACTGAAGGGAGATCCTGCCTACTTCGTCACTTTCGTCAACAGCGGTCCACCATCTTTGCAAAATCCCGCTGGGCCCTCCAACTTCCCCGGTCTTCCAGCTAAAATCCCAGTTGCCCCCCTGGCTTGGGCCATAATCCCTGTTGTTGTTCCCTTCTATTTTTTCCTCGTCTCATCAGTTCATAACAAACATTGTACATATTTTGCCGTCGCTTGAGAGCTTGAGCTGGCTGTGCTCCCATGCGCACCGACTGCGCCGTCAAAACGACTCCATACGCCAGCGACGCCACCAAACCTCTGGTCTACTGGATCCAGCTATCAACGTTGCCAAGTACAAAAACTTTGTCTCTTGCCCAACTCTAGTCCTGTATCGACCGCTAAAACGATACGTTTCTGCATCATCATCATCTTTCGCTTGCACCGACTCCCTTTATATGGCCGCCTGAGCAAGTCCCAAGAGCTGTCATATCCCTGGAGACCGAAGCTTGGAGCAGTCGCTAGCCATGGAGCTGGCTGCGGGAGGATTTGACAATGACACCCGAGGGTGGATTATGAGCGTGGTCAGTGGCATAGGTACGTCGAGAAGATGCATCATGGCATCCGCTATGTTCTCGAGATGATTGCTCACCCTACCGTATAGCATGCATCTTCGGCGCCTCCATCGTGTGCGTCGACTTCATCGTCCGTCTGGTCCCAGGAAAGCGCAGCTTTCGCATCCAGGAGAGCAACATCTTCCTGGCGTGCTCGCTTTCCCTGAGCTTCGGGGTCATGGTACGATTCATCACCGCCGCTCCCGATTACATGAGCATATGTCAGCTAACTCGTCCAGATGTTTTCCGCACTGTACAGCATGCTGCCCGAATCAAGGGACTATCTGAGGAAGGACGCCTGGGCCGATCAACCTGCCGGCTTTGTTGTCATGGGTTTCTTCATTGGAGGCTTCTTTGGTATCCAAGCCGTGTCCCGCCTCCTACACAGGCACATGCCGTCGCATGTTGTTGATTGCGACCACACCCACGATAACGCAACCCCACAAGACAGCTTCTCGTGTAACCACAGTCGCAGACAGTCCAGAGTCAGCCGAGCACGAAGACGGCTCTCCCGTCCCCGGTCCTCCCATAGCCACGCGAAGTTGGATGCCGGTCATGCCGCGGAGAACGGAGTGGCGCTCGCAGGCGAGACAACACCTTTATTGCCGTCGTCCATCGAGACTGACAGAAATGGCCATCGGAATCCATTGAAGCGACACGCATCCACTAGAGCTGATGGAATGTCGCAACGCCCGACCAGCCCATTATTAGCCTCGAGAGGCCATGCAACAACTACTGACTTGGAAGCAGCAGCTCGTCGGCCGTCCATGTACGAGGTACAGAAGCGCGTCATGTCCTTTGTCAGAGACACCAAGTGCAACTGTGAGGAGGAGGGGTCATGCTATGGTTACACAGATCCATGCGGACAAGAATGTTTCAAGCACCTCTCTACACGCTCGCAAAGCGGCCCTAAACATGCTGCTTCGCTTCGAACCACCACCGGACCCTTCTATTTACACTCCGGCTCTATCTTTCATGCCGGCCATGGTCACGATGATCCCGACGCATCTATAAGCCCCCTGTACCGCATAAGCAGAGCTACTTCTCGCGAACCTCTTTTCTACCCAACAGATGAAGAAACCCCTGACCAGGAGGAGCATGATTCCTACTGCTCCCCCACGGAAGAAGGAGATCTCGAAATCAGCCAACATCACCACCATGTGCCCACAAACGCCTTCCTTTCTATTGGTCTTCAAACATCCATTGCTATAGCTCTTCACAAGTTCCCGGAAGGCTTCATCACATACGCAACCAACCACGCCAATCCTACCCTCGGCTTTAACGTCTTCATGGCTCTCTTCGTACACAACATCTCGGAAGGATTTGCCATGTGCTTGCCGTTGTACATGGCTCTCGGTTCCCGCTGGCGCGCCATAGCATGGTCCGCTGTCCTTGGCGGCCTGTCTCAGCCCATGGGAGCCGGCGCAGCAGCATTATGGTTCAAACTGGCGCAAAGGTCGAACATCACCCCGAATGCATTGGTATATGCCTGTTTATTCGCTATTACAAGTGGAATTATGGTGAGCGTAGCGTTGCAATTATTTGTAGAGGCATTAAGCTTGAATCACAACCGAAATTTGTGCATCTTTTTCGGGTTCTTAGGCATGGCTATTTTAGGGTTGAGCAATGCGTTATTTGCGGCACATTGAGGACTAACCACTTGGCGTGGCTGAAGAACGAAATTCATGGCAGTAAACGGATTATGAGTATGATTGGCATAGAGGAGTTTTGGTATAATCACAAAGGAGGCGGGATTACGGCCTCTGGTCTGCTGGGCATTGTTACTTCTTTTTTTTGGAGTAGAGTATTTTGTTAGCCTACTATGATAGAATGTCAAATCTTATGGTTCAAAGCAATGAGTGCTAAATGTAGGCGCAGTGCAGTCACAGCCGAACAGCTTATAAGGTATGTTATTTTCTCAATGTTTCTATGTATCATTAGTTCATTATCATGTACTATTTCCGGAGCCAACGCCATATTTTTCTTCATGATACAACAAATAAATCCATCCCGGGGAGCCCTACAGGGGTATCAGCGACCAGCTATTTTTCGCGTTGAAGGCAAGACGCCATGTTCAACATCAGCTAAACAAAAGTCTATAATCTAGCAAGATTAGGATCAATGTGCTCCTCGTGCGATGAGTCACGCGCCAACAGCATAATGTTGGCCTCATCCTCAAGCCACTCGTCCTTTGGGGGGCCGTAGTCCATCTGGGCGGCAAAAATTTCATCCTGCGCCGTGTCCTCGGGCCACGAGGCGTGGAACTCATCTCTCCCCAAGGATAATTCGTCGTCCCCGTCATCCAGGTGCAGGAAGGGGGCAGAGTGATTTGGCGGGTCGGGCTGCTGGTGGCCATGAGACAGGTGGACTTGCAGGTCGTGGTAGCGCTTGAACCCCTCGTTGCAGTCGGGGCAAAACACGGTGTGCTTGGCTTGGTTCGTGAGGCCGGAAATCTCGTCGATGAAGGCGGTCGGGCTCTCGCTGGGGCTGCCTGGCTTGGGCAACTTGGGGCGCTCGTGGCCGAGGTGGATGAAGCGGATGTGGTCGTCGAGGCGGACCTTGGTGCTAAACTTGGCGCCGCAGCCTTGGTCGTTGGTCCAGGCTGCGAACTCTGGCCCCGAGGGCGTCACGTCGCCGCATACGAAGCGGAAGCCTTCGTGGGCTGAGCGGATGTGGGCCTTGAGGTTGGACTTTTTGGTGAATTTCTTGTTGCAGCCCTCGTGGGTGCAGGCGTGTGTCTGGCGGTCCTTGACGGTCTTTCCGGAGTGGTACATGTCCACGTGCTGGTCGAGCTCCCAGCGTGATGAGGGCTTGAAGTCGCAGAAGAGGCAGTTTTGGTGTTCCTTCTTCAGGTGGGCGTGGAGGAGCAGTTCAGTTGTGAATCCCACGCGGGTTTGTGTGCCGTCTTCTTCTGTTTTCAGGCCGCACTCTCCACACCAGTATTTTATTTCGCCGTGTATCTTCTCCCGGTGGCGTTTCAACGCCGGCTTCGAGTCGAATGACTCTGTGCAGTCTTGCTCAGAACAGGCGTATGCCCGGATGTGTAGGTGTTCTTTGCGCACATGCTTTGTGAGAGTTTCTCTTTTTCGGAAGCTCTGTCCACAGTCTTTGCAGCGAAATCGTTCGGCGCCTTCGTGAACGGCCTGGTGGCGCTTCAATCTGGTGCCTGTAACGAAGCTTTTGCCGCAGCCCGGGACTTGGCAGGCGTATTTGCGTTCGTTTGTGTGTGCGGCTTTAATGTGCTGCTTCAGGTGTTTATCCTCTATGTAGTCCTTATCACAGTCATCATAGGGGCACTTGAATGGACGGGAATTGGTGTGTGAGTTGAGGTGGTCTCGGAGTCTGGCTGGCCGGTTGAATGCCTTGGTACACCCTGGCCATGTGCAGGCTAGAGTTTTGAGGTCTGACGGGAACTTGGCTCTTGGCGTAGTTGCTACGGTTGCAGGTGACTCGGCATCTGCCATTGAGCTTGGTGATTCGGACGGTGTAAAGTCGTCATCACCATCGTCGTCTTATTTGATTGTTAGAATTGGTGGTTTGCATGGACGGGGAGGAATGCATTTTTACTCACACTGAGGAGCACAGTCTATGTGCAGCTTCTTCACTGGGGAAGCTTCAATAGCCTCCTCTACGGGCCTTCGCTTGCTCATTATTGTAAGAAATTGCCTGAGCAAGTCAATATCGACATTGTCATATTGCAAGGTACTGTGTTGAGAAAAAGCGGCAGAATGCATGCAGTTAGATCAGGCGGTGACAAGAAATTTTGTGGTGGGTGACGACCGATAAGCCAAGGTGAGCTTCGGTCAGCCTATCAGGCCCCCACTAGTGGACGTGAGTGCGTCGGGGAAGCTACGGCAAAACTTGCCCAAATCTTTCAAGTGGAAGGCTGCAATTTTTACGAGGCTGATTTGCAGGAACAAATAAGAACCACAACGCTACGTTTGCGACCTGTTTCTGTTTCCCACATTATACGCGCGCGCAAAATTCCAAAGGTTTTCACATCATGTCTGACTTTGGCGATGACGATGTTGGCGTCGGCGGGTAGGTTTCCTCGCAAAATTTCACGGGCAATATTGAGGGTTGCCTAGAAGCGCAGCGAGCTAATAGCACGCGAAACAGAGACGAGCCCATGCTTGAGGAGGAGGAGGTTACCGAGTACTACGACCCCGAGGTTCTAGACAATGAGGACGGCGAGCGTGGTGAAAATGGCGACGATGCGGATAATGTTGTCGTTTCCGGCGACCCTTCAGCAGCTGCCAATGCCCTCAAGGCTGGCGAAAAGTCCTTGAAAGATAAGAAGATTCCCGAGGCGGATCGGACAACAACTCCCTACATGACCAAGTACGAAAGAGCACGTATTCTTGGCACTCGCGCTCTGCAGATTAGGTAGGATGATGGTTGTGAAGTCTAGCCAGGATACGCAAGCTAATGGGCGAGTGTAGCATGAATGCGCCAGTGTTGGTGGATCTCGAAGGCGAGACCGACCCCCTTCAGATTGCCATCAAGGAACTTCGCGAGAAGAAGATTCCCTTAATCGTCAGGCGATACATGCCTGATGGCTAGTGAGTGCTAACTTAAGCGAAGGCTCGTGCTGGAATTCAGACTAATAGAGTGCGAACAGCTACGAGGATTGGACATGCGAGGAATTGCTGCAATAGTATGAACACGCCGGGCAAGCAAACGGTAATTCGGTCAAGGGCGAAAAGGGAACAATTCACCAAAATTTGCGTCAAGCTGCTGCCATACCAGACGATCAATTCAGCATTCTCTCTAATCCAAGCCAAGCAGGCAGGTCTCTCGGGCGTCATTTATGATTCATGAGCGCGGCGTTTTGAAATTTGGTCGAACGATCACAAACAGGCATTAGATAAAACCCAGAAGAACGGGTGCTTTGGTTATTGGGCTGTGCCGTCTGTTGCAGGAACGAGCCGTTATGGGACGTGTTGACAAAAACAGAGGAATAGGGTAAGCATCTGTGGCAACATGCCGTCATGGATCAGCCAACATCACACAGCGAGAAGGTAGTAAATGGAACTTTGAAAGAGAACAATGCAACATGTCGCGCCCAACGATGATGATTGTACCGTGTGTGCGCAAGCCTCAAGTTGCAGAGGTTTGCAAGATGTTATTCAAGATTTTACTGATATTCAATGTGAGAAGTCTTGGTTGCGGGAATACCAGGCGTTGGCATAATAACTACAGGCTAAATCAAGGAAAATATATTATTTTGGAAATTTTGTCCATAATATATAATATATACTGTCAGATATCATGGGCTACGAAGTTTCAAGGCAGAGCCGCAATCATGCAAGAAATCCAAGAACACAGACAGGCAGGTGCTCTGTAGATACATGCTGGCCTGGCCAACAGCAAGAGCTTTGTTTACTGCCTTTCCGACGAGCTGGCGCTCCCAACCTCCCATTGGCCAAGAGTAGAAACTTGCATCACAAAAAGCAAGGCGGTGCAGCAGACACGAGGTTTCCAGCAGGACGCAACATCGTACAACCTGCAACATGCAATGCGTAACAGGGAGGGGCCTTATCATCGGGAAGATTAACCGACGCTGAAGTCTGAATTAGGGAATTCTGCTTGCGTTGGCGGGCAGCGGCAAGCGGCAACAATTGACGTGAAGACTGTTTACTCTGTAGGAACCAGGCGCAGAAGATGAAACGCCATGACATCGGCCAAGTGCCACAAGATGGGCTGGCCAGAATGACTAACCGCGTGCCGCAAACGCAAGAAAAAACCAGCTGCCGTGGGATGATGATCAATTGCCAAGAACGCAGACGCCCTAGATTAGGGGGTCTGGGGGTTTGATGATTGTGCCGAAATCACGTCGAGTTCGTGTTTAAGCCATGATCGACGTGGTTGGCCTGGATGAGGCTTAGGGGCCAGGCTCACTCTGAGTGGATGGAGCAGCTTTGGCCCCATGGCGGAGACATGACGTCGTTGCTGGGGGCGGCATTCGGATGCCGTTCCAGGCAGGCAGGGTCCATGCCCACCCACTGCTTGCCCTTGATGTTGACGTTATTCCAGGCGGACGTTTGGACACGGCTAGCGTGCCAGTGGGGCAGTTTCCCGCTAAGCCCCTCAAGGACGATCCTGCTTGGCCAGATGCAGCAAACAACAGACTGAATAGACCAACTTGACGGCCGTTGCATCTTGCTCTGCTGGTGGCTCTGGCATAAAACAGCCCAGGAATAGAAGTCCGGTAGGCCGGATTGCCTTTCATCTCATCGTCTCCATGAAACAAAGCTGGCTGCCAAGTGCCCTGTACTCACTGCCCTTTGTGCTATATAAGAGGCTGGGCGCCTCAGTGTGTAAGCGTCTGGTGCGTCTGATCGATGGCGGCTTTGACTCCCTTGCACCCCTGGCTTTTGCAGCTGCACCCGCCTGCGTTTCTGATACACCAATTGGCCGCTCGACCAGACCCAAGATTTCGATTGGCAAGTCACACATCAAGGGTTCTCGGCTGCTCCTGCCTCCAGCACTCCGGCCATCTGATTTCTTGAAACATAAATATTTGACAGCTGCTTTCAATTTTATCCATCGCGATTCACACACCTATCCTCCAACCCTTCCTCGTCTACGGTGCAACATTTAACAACGCCAACATGAAGTATTCCGCTGTCGCTGCCATCGTCTCTTCGGCGGTTGCCGTTTCTGCCTCTCCCGTTGAAAAGCGTGCCATTGGAGGTGTAAGTAATTGCCCTTGCTGCCCAGTCGACTTCTTTTCTTCTTTGCACCAACTTGCTGCAAAAGCGTTCTTGCAAGACCTCAAAACAGCACACTCTTTTTTTTTCTTACTTATCCCCTCATATACTAACACCCTTCAGGTCTTGCTCTGCACCGGCGCCAACTCCACCGGCACTTGCAAGTATTCTGTGTACGAGCTCAACAAGTGCCATCAACTCACGGAGCCATTTTACCAGAACACCAATACCTTTGCCCTCGATGGTGAAAATTTCTACTGCTTCCCCAAGCTCGTCAACTGCACCGATATCTGTACGAGCCCTACTGGCTGCACCTTTGGAGCCGTCGACTACAGTTACGAACACAAGTACAACCTGAGCGCCATTTCTTGGGACAAGTACATTACCAGTTTTCAGTGCGGCATGAAGCAGGACCCGCAAACAAATAACAATGGCTCCTCGTCCAAGCGGTTTCTGTCATGATTCTTTTGCGCATACCACAATGGACGCTTAATACTTGATGGGTTTGGCGGCAGCAAACCCCACACACATGGGATGTTTCGCGGGGAAAGCTCGGCATCGCGTGGCATGTATGCACAACAGAGAGCACATATCGGTAATGGGGCCAGCGGAAAACGTCTGGCGTAATGGTATTATTATACCCTGCCTTGTAATGGGCAGCATATAGATTAATCAATTGGGACATATTTATTTTCATCATTGATAACCTGACGGTTTCTTCAGAGCATTTTGGGATAACTTCCAGGTTTATGACGACATGGACATTGTTCGGAGAGATGCAGCGAATCGGCGGGGTCGGAATCTCAACCCCTCCATTGAAGCTCCCAAGGTGGGAGGAGGTTTCAACCAAGCTCTATAAAACCAGACCCAATCGTCAGTCCAACAACATCCATCCCAGCCTGCAGCCTGTGTAACAATCAAATCCAATACTAGTATATCTTTTCATCACCTGCAAATCTCCCCAAAATGGCCTTCACAACAAACGCCACAATCGCCTCCTTCAACGGCCGCATCCTTAAACTCACCCACCAGTCCAGCAGCACCTCGACGCCCATGAACCTCAACCTCTTCCTGCCCAACACGGCATCGTCATCCAAACCGGCCCCCCTCCTCATCTACCTCTCCGGCCTGACGTGCACGCCGGACAACGTCACCGAGAAGGGCTTCCTCCACGCCCACGCCTCGCCGCTCAACCTCGCCCTCCTCTACCCAGACACGTCCCCTCGCGGCACCAACCTCCCCGGCGAGCACGACGCCTACGACTTTGGCAGCGCGGCGTCCTTCTACATCGACGCGACCAAGGACCCCTGGGACACCAACTACCGCATGGAGTCGTACCTCACCACGGAGCTGCCGGAGCTCCTCTTCGCCAACTTCAAGGAGCTGGACGCCCAGCGCGTCTCCATCACCGGCCACTCCATGGGCGGCCACGGCGCCCTCACCCTCTTCCTCAAGAACCCCGGCAAGTACAAGAGCGTGAGCGCCTTTGCGCCCATCTGCAACCCCAGCCAGTGCCCGTGGGGGCAGAAAGCCTTCGCGGGGTACCTGGGCGACGACAAGGCCGAGTGGGCAAAGCACGATGCCACCGAGCTGGTGAGGCGCTGGAAGGGAAATCTAAACTGCCTGATTGACGTGGTGAGTTTTCTTTCTTTCGTCCCGAATCTTTGCCGCGGCGCTAAGCACAGGGTGTAGGGCACCGGGGATAATTTCTACAACAGCGGCCAGCTGTTGCCGGAGAACTTTGTCGAGGCCGTCAAGGGCGCGGGCGTGGATGGGGTCAATGTGCGCTATCACAAGGTAAGTCGGCGCTGCTGCCTGTTGTCTGGCGTGTTAACGCGCATGTTGTGCTAAACTTGGGGGGACGGGGCAGGCCTATGATCATTCGTATTTCTTTATTTCGACGTTTGCCGAGGACCATGTTCGGCACGCTGCCAAGGCGCTCGGGTTGCTGTGAAGGGGGAATATGACGGGACATTGTGAGGTTTTTGTGCTCGCTGTTTCGCAGGGTTTGGCTCCGGGCTCCGTATTACTGGAAATACATGTCGTACATCTCGCGCATGTGGTGTCAAGTATTATAACGTGGGCTCGTAATGCCAGGCCAGGGAACCCATGTGCCCACGAGGCGGCTTCCCAAGAACGGGAGCCCAAGGCTATTTCCACACGGAGTAATATCCAAACGTAATTTGTTTCTTCCCCAAGTAGAAAAAGTTCTTTGACTCTACTTTGTACACCGCCAAGCCAGTAGGATTCGCCTGTGCACAGGAACAGCGCGTGGTCTTTCATTTAATGTCGGCCCTACAATGGAGCAGCGGACTGCCTGGCAAGAAGCCGGCTGCTCGGCTGCTACAAATACGCTCGACAGCACGCACTAGTAGCACTTGACGTTTGCGAACAAAACCATGACGTGGTCAAACCATGTATCCTGCTTCACCAACTAGACACATTAGCTCTATTCTGACCCATCCAAAGCTGAAGCCTACAAGATAGCATAGCCCCATGCCAACCCATCAAGTCATAACCCGTGCCGTATTGGAATCCCATTAAAACCTTCCCCATCAATAGCAATTAAATGTAAAAATTGAAACCGTGACAAACGCCGCCCATGTGGTGATCTGGCTGTGAATCAAACGCACCCATGCAATGCCACCCAAAAACACAAATTTCCCACCCCTGCCCATACCACAATATTTTCCGTTTCTTTAGCTAATTCTCCGTTCGTAACTGGGACTGAGTCCTTCCTTCTCTAGCTTTGCGCGCATTTCCAAATTGATTTCCCTGCGAATGCGTTCGTAGGCCAGCTTCTCGAAGCGGCTAAGGCCCTTCCACCAGTGTTGGCCGGCTTCGTGCTCCGCAATACGACTGAGGAGCTCGCTCGTCTTTAGACGCACCTCGCGATCTTGGTGGAACAATCCGAGGGCGAGATAGAAGAGGCCGGCGTGTGACTC